TTTTTATCCACTAGCAATAGTGGTGAGCAAAGTAAGCAGAATTCTTAGTGAGACAAAGGTGATGAGGACGACAATGTTGACCTTTGCATGCCCGTGTGTTTCAATACAATTTTTAGTTGCCTCTCTAGCTTATAGGCCTATTTGTAGCTCCACACAATGTTTCATAAAGTCAACTGAGCTCATTTCTAACAAGTCCTCAAGGAAATATACACGGATTAAATAATAAGCAAAGTTCCTGCAATCGCTTAAATCTCTCTTTTTTTTCCATAGATTCAATGGCTGTGTCGACAGTTTTGTTAAAGAGATTAGTTTTGAAGTTCTGTCGTGGCTGAAGGATAGATTCATCATTATTTTCATATAAAACTGTCTTGTCGTGTCGTATACCAAAAACTATCTAAAAAGGTGAAACTTTCTTAAAATGAGCTTCTTGGTAGCAATAGTTTTCGCTTCAAGGTGAAACTTTCTTTCTCTGACTTTGTGAAGGGAGGATAATGTCTTCTTCAATGGAAACCAAAGCACTGTAAACCTATGCAGCTGGTGTAAGAGTACACAAGTAGCATCACTTGTACTGTTCCATTGTGTGTCGCCACTCAATGACTTCACATTTAACGAGGAAAAGTGTTATGTATTACTTTTCAACCATGAGTTGCAACAGAAATATCAACAAATATAGTTCAAATATGGTGAAGAACGCTGCTTCGTTCAACATTCCCCGTCGCCCTTTCAGTCATTGAGGCGTTATAATGTTACGGCCAATCCCACTATTCGTGAGTAAAAGAGTGGCCCAGAAGTTGACGGTGAGTGGTGATGACTAGCTGCCTTCCTTCTAGTATTTCACTGCTAAATTAGCGACGGCTAGCGCAGACAGCCCTCGTGTAGCTTTGCGCGAAATTCAAAACAAAACAAACCAAACCAAAATCATTCAACACGATTCAGGAAGTGTACATTGCACAGCACAAAAGACTCGTGGATTTAAATATCTAATTCTTCTCGTCTTTCATGTTGGTCTAGTTTGCTCAAAACAACTTCAGTCATATCGGCTTTACTTGTATCTTCCAGCGATAAACACCCAAAGAAATGCTCGTTGATGCTGACGCTGACCTCACCATCTTTAGTTGCAGCAACAGCTGTGACAAATGATCAATGTTATCTGTACTGTGTAGTTTATTTCTAGAATAATATCAAACAAAATCAAGTAATAGTTGAAATTTCTAGCAGCAGTCGATAGTACATTGCTGGATCTTATTGGACAGCAATTATATCAGCTTATTTTTGTATTTGCACAGATAGTGTTTATAGATACCTTTAATGGTAATTCTTCTAAGATGTTCTTTAATAACAGGATCTAATATAGCTAAATATTAAATACATTTTAGAAAACTTCCATTTCCGAGTGTAAAAAGCCTACTTATGAAGAGCAAGGGCTCGATTTAAATAAACTTTCAACAAGGCAATGAGTCTTTCAAATCTACCTTGTTAATGCCCCGCCTTTTCTTCCTTTTTTTCCTCAGCCGCAGACCTATTCAGTTTATTTTCAGTCGACTGTTGCAATGCCTCCTTAATGATCTGCTGACTTTTCACGTGCTGACAAATTCTCCGATTCCTGTGTTCAGGGTCTGGCATGGTCAAGTGGTCAGGGCGCTCGACTCGCAATCTGAGGGTTGTGGGCTCGAATTCTCGCCCCACCAAACATGCTCGCCATTTCAACTGTGGGGCATTATAATGTGACGATTGATCCCACTATTCGTTGGTTAAAGAGTAGCCAAAGAGTTGGTGGTAGGTGGTGATGACTAGCTGCCTTTCCTCTAGTCTTTCACTGCTTTCAAAATTTAAAAGAATCTATTGGATGAAGATCTATGTTGTGAATTGGAGCAATAGCAAAAAAAAAAAAAAAGTAGAAGAATTACTCCCGGCTTTATGATTAAGCTGGATAAATGCAAACTAAATTCGTAGTACGTTATAATGTAAAAGTAATATAAAATAGTATGACGGTTCTAATATGAAAAACATTAACAGAAATGAAAGTACTCCTCCCCATAAAGTTTAATTTTCTAGTAATATTGACTTTATTATCCTTACTAAAATTACAAACATACACCATACCACCGTCTTATTTGTTCGTTGAGAAAAGAACAACTACTAGACACACACATATAAATATGTAGACTTACTGTTCACATTTTGGGTTCCTTATGTTAGGAGACAACTAATGGCGAAGTTATTAGTTGACAGGTAGCTGTATGGGGACACATAGCAATATATATGCAGGAACATTACACACATTAACAGCTGATGATCAGAGAATATATCACGACAAGTAAGAGTTTCTGGCAGATACTATATCAGGACATTATACACAGTAAAAGTTGCATGGTCAAACGCTCTATGTATATAAATATTACACTAAGAGCTGCTGGTCAAAAACTACATGTAGACATAACACACAGTAAGAAATGTTGATCAGATATTATATCAAGGCATTACACACAGTAAGGTCTACTGCTCAGAGGTTTTATATGGACGTTATGCACAGTTAGGTCTACTTGTCAGAGACTGTATATGGACGTAATGCACAGTTAGATCAACTGGTCAGAGATTATATATAGATATGACACGGTAAAATTTACTGGTTAGAGGTTGTATATGTACATTACACACAGTAACATATACTAGTCAGAGATTGTATATGGACATTATACACAGTAAGATCTACTAGTAGAGATTGTATATGAATATGACACGATAAGCTCTACTGGTTACATGTTCTATATGGACGTTATGCTCAGTTAGATCTACTGGTCAGATATTGTATATAGACATTACACACAGTAAGATCTATTGGTCATACACTTTATGTGAACCTTAATTAAAGTGTAATCTACAAGTTAAAGGTTGTATATGGTCATTGCTCAAGATAAAATCTACTGATTAGAGGTTTTATTGGCATGACAGTAAGATCTATCTGAATGAGACGAAAGATGCTCTGCTTTTTGATTAACCAGCTTTCACCTTCCTTAAGACCCATAAGAAAGGCTGATTAGAGTTAATATATGCTGATTTATTATCCAATCTGAAAGAAGCAGTAGTTAAAAAGAAACATAAATCGAGATAAATTATACTGATAACACTCTTTTGTGAAAGAAAAACACTAAACAGAGTTGAAGGTTAATATAAGAAAACAACAGCTAAGTACAGCTAAGTACCAAGAAATATTTTCACCAAAGCACAAATTATACATAAATTATTTAGTGCAACAAAAAATGAACACAAACACAGACAAAATAACAAAACTTATGGTGTTTACAAAAGTTATCAGTTTATATTTCACAGAAATATTACCATATCATTCGAGTACATGATATACGCAGTTAAGATGAGAAACTGAAGATTAAGTGAGGTGACACAATTATTTCCTGGTTACAGTAGTGTATCACTCACATTCTTGTTGGCCCGGCATGGCCAGGTGGTTAGGGCGCTCGA